CCCTGGGACATCCCTCGAAGCCAAGCGACTTCGTGTACGACCTCGTGGCCGTAGGGGCCGGGGCTGCGGGCCTGGTCGCAGCCAAGCAGACCGCTCGGCGCGGGGGGGCGAGCGCCCTTGTGGAAGAGCACCTGGCAGGCGGGGGTGTCGTTTTAATGATCCCCCTCCCGCCTCCCTCCTCCCTCCTTGCTCCTTCCTCCTTTCTCCTCCCGCATCCCTTCCTTTATGCCTTCCTTCCTCCTTCCTCCTTCCTCCTTCCTCCCTCCCTCCTCCTTCCTCCTTCCCCGTCCCTTCCTCATTCCTCCTCCTCCTCCTCCTCCTCCTCCTTCTCCTCCTCCTTCTCCTCCCCATCCTCCTCCTTCTCCTTCTCCTCCTCCTCCTCCGCCTTCCTCCTCCTCCTCCTCCTCCTCCTCGTCCTTCATCATCCTCCTCATCCATATCTCCTTCTCGTCTCTCCTCATTTCTCCACTTAGGGAGCTGTGGTCAGGGGCGACTTTCAGGGGGCACAGGCTCATCGGCCCCAGTCGACCAACGATCGCCAACAGGGGCCCGATGGCCCCCGCCCCGACCAGGGGCGTGCTGATTCGCGATTGTGGACCTATCGCCGACCTGTCGGCGACGTGTCGCCGATTCCGCGTGGGTGCTTCCCCCCTTGAACCAGTCCCCCCTAACGTTAAGTCGGGCCTGTCCCTCTACAGGAGGAATCGTTTAAAACATGGTAAGAGAATAGTATGGGGATGATGCTTTGACTATGTTTGCATGAATGTTTGTTGACTACTTGTTTTATGTTTCGTCCAAAAACCGCCTATAGTAGGACATGCCCGACCTAAACCTAACGTTCCCCTGCACATGTTGACAGACCAGCCACACTGGGGGGAGCTGTGGCCCGTGCCCCCACCTCCTCCTCGAGGGCTCGTCGACGCGGTTGGGTTCCCCCTGGGAGGGGTCAGCAACACAGCTCCCCACTTGCGGTTGGTCGGGCAGATTGTTCTTTCTTAGCGGGCGAAGACAGATACAAAATAACTTCTTCGCCGTCGAGGGAGCCTGTCCCAGGGCGACTGTAAAGTTTATATGCTTTCACGTGACACCGTAAGGGTATACATTTTCCAGCCGCCCTGGGACAGGCGCCCCCGACAGCGAAACAGTTGTTTGTTCTTCGCCCGTTAACTTGCTGTTTTTGCCTTCGGCGACGATTTTGGTCAGTGCCGCTCTCCCACCCCACGACTCGCCGCCCGCTCTTCCCAGCGGGAGGACGCGAGGCCCCCGAACTTGCTGGGGCACGGGCCTGGCGGCGTTCTCGTGGCGAGGGTCCGCCAGGAGTCGCGACGGCCAAGTTTTCGCGAAGTGTTTTTGCTGCAGGGGGGGAGGCGGGCGCGTCCAGTTTCAGAGACCGGGTCGCGTCTTTCAGAAGCCAGGCGAAGGTTGGCAGACCCGTAGCTGCTAAAACGGAGGTCCAGGAAAATGTATTTTTTCCAGGATGCAGCCTGTTTCTTAGTTAGTGCGCCGAGTTGGGGTCCAGGAGTTTGTTTTTCTCTTCCGAGAAAACAGTTTTAGCAGCCACGGATTTGCCAGCCCTCGCCCAGCTTCCGAGTCTTCTTTCCGACGGCCCTGTCGGGCGAATTCGAGTCTTCCAGGCTCGAGACTCACGTCTCCCCGATCTTGTGCACACGGCGCGAGGGTGAAGCACACCCCCGGCTTTGGAGGGGTGCTCTCGTGTCTTTCGTGCACGGGTTCTCCGCTTGGACTATGCTTGGTTTTGGGGGTAGCCCCATGAGGCCCTGGAATTTCGGCGAAGGAGCGAGGGTAAGTGAGGAGAGGGGCACGGCAGAAGGCAGGAGTGAGGAGGCGGATGCGTCACACGCACAACAAGAGCCCCATGTTTAAGACACTGGGAAAATACAGTCCTCCCCATCCCCCCTCCTCTTGCTCCTCGTCCTCCTCCTCCTCCTCCTCCTACTTCTCCTCCTCCTCCTCCTCCTCCTACTCCGCTTCTTCGCCCATCCTCGCCCTCCCTTCCCAAGAACCCCCCCCTCCCTCCACAAAAAAACTAACTCCCCTCCCCCCCTCCCCCCCTTCCCGCCCTTCCCCCCCTCCCTCCCCCCGCCTGCCCCCTCCCTCCTCACCCTCCTCCATCTCACCCCCCTTCAGACATCCGAGGATATGTTTTTTCACTGCGCGGCCCTAGAGGTCCTGAGCCTTTCCCAAGGGGTCAATTCTTCGCCCCAGATCCATGTTTGATGTCCCTGGGTCCCGGTACAACGGGCCCCAGAGGTCCAAAGCGAGGAAACATTGACAGCTGAAAAAACAGATCGTCGGAGCTTTGGGCTTCCCTCCCCCCCTCCCCCCATCCACCCCCCAGGACCAACTTCGATCCGATCGAAACGATTTAAGTTCGGCTCCAGTCAGCCCGACTCGATTCGATTCCGAGTTTCGGTCGATCCGATGCGGCCCGATGCTTGCATGGCGCTGCTGTGCATCCTGGCGCCGCCGATTCTTTTCAATTCCGACTCCGTGCCGATGCGGTCTGGCTCGATACACGCTCCGATCCTGTCTGGTTTCCCGATTCGATGCTGAGTGTCCTTGCCTCCCCCAGACTTCCATTGAGGAAGCCAGAAGGTACCATTCTGCTATTTACTCCCCGGACCTCTCCCGGGGTGCGCCCTGGCGAGAATTCCGAGGCGAATCCGGCGGTGGCGACGAGGACCCCACAGGAGGACCAGAAAGGCAGACATTTGCGAAGCGCAGCGGTGTGGGCACCTGCTCCCCCTCTGCTCTTTCCGCCCCCGGCCCCGAGGCGGGGACTGCCTGAACGTCGGGTGCGTCCCGTCCAAGGCGCTGCTGCGGGCAGCCCGCTCTGTCGCGGAGCGGCGCCGGTCCGACCTCGGGATGGCCCCCGACCAGGCCGGGGGCGGCGGGTGCCACGGCGAACTTCGGGATTCTGTGCGTCCTTCTCCGTCCTCCTCATCCTCCCTCCGCCCCCCCTCCCCCCCCTCCCCCCCCCCTCCTTCCCCCCCCTCCTCCTTCCTCTCCCCTCTCCATCTATTCTCGCCCCTCGTTCTTCTCGTCCTCCTCCTCCTCCTCCTCCTCCTCCTCCTCCTCCTCCTACATTCCTTTTCCTTATAACTAGCTCTCCTTGTCGCACCCCGAGGCCAGTTTTTAGGGCGGGCCGGGCGTTTCGCCTGAGACTTCCTTACCACTTATGACCCTGACGCTTAAGAATAAAAAGTGACTCACCTAAGCGCCGCGCACATTCTTTCCAACATTTTGCAGGAGTTCGACGGATTTATGGCGACCCGTTTTCAAAATGTGGCTCTCGCTTGAGCGCCGCGCACATTCGTTTGAACAGTTTGCAAGGATTTCACGGATTGAGGACAACCCGTTTTCAAAATGCGGTTCTCGCCTTAGCGCCGCGCGCGTTCGTCTAAACAAATTGCAAGGGTTTCACATATTAAGGGCGGCTCATTTTCAAAATGTGGCTCTCGGCTTAGCGCCGCGCACATTCGTTTGTAACATTTGCAAGAGTTTCACGGGTCCGCATGATCAATACAATAAATGGTGTTTCGGAAGGATTCACGATTTTGCGGGTGCAACAGTTACGTTGGTTCGTGGTGTTGAAATTCCAAGGATGGGATTGTCAAGACGCAAGAGTCAGGTTGATACGTGGCGCTGGAATCCCGAGAACATTGTTTTGGCATGTTTCAGGGTCTTCAAACGGTTGTCTTCCAACGAGGCAGTTCCTTCAATGGAAATGGACCGTTGTAGGGGCCTATGAAGAGGGAGGTTTGAGGGATGGTGTATTCCAACATCGTTGATGACTCTTGGGATTACACTGGTGCTCCTTCTACTTCTACTCCCACTCTTACTCCTACTCCTACTCCTACTCCTAATCATCAGCAGCATCTCATAGTCATCATCATCATCATCATCATCATCATCATCAGCATCATCATCATCATCATCATCATCATCATCATCATCATCATCATCATCATCATCATCATCATCTGCATCATCATTAGTAGCATCATCAGCATCATCATCTACAGCACCATCATCATCGTCATCTGCATCTTCATCATCGTCATCGTAATCGTCATTATGATCATCGCCATCATCATCATCATCATCATCATCATCATCATCATCATCATCACAATCAGCATCATCAGCATCATCATCGTCATCATCATCATCATCATCATGGTCGTCATCGTCATCCTCGTCATCGTCATGGTAATCGTCCTCGGCATCGGCATTGGCGTCGTGATCGTCGTCATCATCATCGTCATCATCAACATCATCATCGTCGTCATCGCCGTCATCGTCACCATCATCATCATCATCATCAGCATCATCATCATCATCCGAATCATCATCAGCAGCATCAGCATCATCACGTACATACTCTTCGTTCTCTTTTCCTCGTCCTCCTTGTCCACCTCCCTCCCCCTCCTCTTTCTCCTCCTCCTTATCCCCCGCCCCCATCCTCATCTTCCCGCTGCTGCTCCTCCTTCGCCCTCCACGATTTCCTCGGTCTGCAAAGACCGCTCCCCCCCCTCCCCCTCCAAACCTGGGAGGAGGCAGGAGGGAGGCGGCACAGAGGCAGGTGAGGAAGACGGAGAAGAGAAAGAGGGAGCATGAGGAGGTGGGTGGCACGAGGGAGAGGAGCACCGGAAAAGGAAGAGGGTAAGAGGAGGGAGAGACCTTTTTGGATATCTTACAAACAGCCAGCCGAAGAGGAGAGAGGGAGGAGGGAGAGAGAGAGAGAGAGAGAGAGACAAAGAGAGAGAGAGAGAGATGAGCAACAGGAAAAGGGTGAGGGGAGGAGGACCGCGGAAGGAGGAGGACCGCGGAAGGAGGAGGAAAAAGAGGAGCAGGAGGAGGAGAGAGGAGGAGGAGGTAAGAGGGACGGGGGTTAGGGACGAGGGAGGAAAGAGAGAATCCCGCCCTCCCTGCGGCTCGCGCTGCCCCGGCGGACCGCGGTCGACTTCGGCGCGGTCATGGAGCGCATGCGGCGGCTCCGGACCAAGATCTCGGACGTCGATTCCGTCGAGACGACCATTCGGGGGCGGCAAAGAGGGGGGTGATGACCAGGGGGTGGGGGGATATCATGGCGGGGGCCATGAAATCTCCCCTGATTTCATGGCGCCTCTTCTTATTTCAAGACGTCCCTGCCCCCCCCCCAGGCCGCGCACATGCCGCCGGCCATGACTTGCGCCCCTCCCCACTTGGACACCCCCCTCTTGGCCGCCCCCGAACAATGAAAGTGGGCACGGATGCCTACGTGGGCAGAGGTCGGCATGGCGCGCTACTCGTTTGTCGTCCTTCGGACACTCCCTTGTCGCCACGGCTGCACTCTAGGCCTCCTAGATGGGGTCGGAGCAGATGGGACCAGAGGATCGCGCCGCATCGCCGATGCATCGCCGATGCGGCTCGATGTGGAGCCCGATTTCCTTTCCGTCGACGTCGCCGATGTATTGGCGGTGCCGCGCGATCCTCCGACCCCAGCTACTCCGACCCCATCCAGGAGGCCTTCTTATGCAGGCAGCTCAGGAATAGCTGGCCAGGAGGGGCTCCAGGAGTGGTCTGGGGGGGCGCTTCTGAGCGGGTGCTGATGCTTCGATATGATGAGAAATGGTCCGTGGGGTCCCAGAGGTATTCCTTCAAGAGCCAGGCGAAGGATGGCAAACCCGTGGCTGCTAAAACGGAGCTCTGGGAAATTGTTGTTCTCTTCCGGGAAGCAGCCCGTTCATTATTTAGCCCGCTGAGTTTAATCCCAGGAATTCGTCTGCTCTTTCCGGGAAGACCGTTTTAGCAGCCACGGATTTGCCAGCCCTCGCCCAGCTTCCGATTCTTCGCTCCCAGACTCCCTGGTCCCTCGCCAGGCCTCAGGACTTCCAGAGGTCGGCTCGGGATGCGACCTGTATCCTGCCAAGCCCCAGGGCCCTGGACCCGGTTCCCGTTTCCACAGGTTCGGCTGCACGCAAGAGTGACTCTCGCCAGAGAGTGGCCTTCGTTGCGCGGCGCTTGCTCGAGGCGCCAGGGGGGGGGGGGGCGGGAGCACACCCAGGCGCGCAGGCCGTTACGTGCTGCTGCATCGCGTGCAACAATCGGCAAAGCCGCGCACCAAAGGTCACTCCTGCCCAGAGTCACTCCTCCTCCTCCTCCTCCTCCTCCTCCTCCTCCTCCTCCTCCTCCTCCTCCTCCCTTCATGCCAAGAAGGTCTCTTCACTGGCCCGAACGAGCTCCAGGTGGGAGACAGGAAGCTCCGGTTCAGGAAGGCGGTGATCTGCACCGGAGGCCGTGCCACGGTGCCCCCTATCCCCGGCCTGAGGGAGTCCAGCTACATGACGCACGTGCAGCTCTTCAATCTGACAGAGCTTCCCAGGCGCTTCGTGGTCATCGGTGGAGGGCCCATCGGCCTGGAGATGGCCCAGTCTTTCAGGCGCTTCGGATCCGATGTGACCCTGCTGGAGGCGGCGCCACGGATCCTGGGACCCGAAGACCCGGAGGCGTCTGCGATCCTCCAGCGATCGCTGGAAGCGGACGGGGTGCGGGTCGTGGTGGATGCCGGCATCGAGAGGGTGGAGGACGTGGACGGTGGGGCCTCGATCAAGATCCACCTCCAGCCCAAGGGCGGGCCCAGGGAGGAGGTCGTGTGCGACAAGCTGCTGGTCGCCGCCGGGCGGGCGGCGAACGTGGAGAACCTCGGCCTGGAGGCCGCCGGCGTGCAGTACACGCCGAGCCAGGGCATCCAGGTGAGGCGCTCCAGAAAGAGCCTTGCCTTCGAGGAGTGGGAGTTGCCATCTCTTCCGCGGCGGAAGGCGGCGGAAGTAAAACGAGGCCGCCTCCGCCGGCGGAAAAACTGCCGACAGAAGGTTGCGGAAGTAAACATGCGCCCCAAGAGATAGCAACATGTTTGGGTTCAGGGTCTCCGAAATTCGCCAGGTGTCGAGGAAGAGAAACGCCATAAGCATAAACCTTTGCCGCTCCGTGCGGATTTCTTGGACCCTGGCGGCGCCTCCGGCGCCGCCCCTGGCGCGCTCCGCGGATCCAAGCAATCCGCGCGGAACGCCCAAAGTTTAGGGCGCTGTCCTTCGTCGAAGGTGAACGACGACCTGTCCACCAGCAACCCCGACATCTTCGCGGCCGGCGACTGCACGAACCTGCCTGCCTGCAGGTTCCTCAGGAGGGGAAACAACACACAGACACAATTAATCGTCCACTCCCAGAAAATATGGGAAAACATGGGCAGTGGGGGGGAAGACAAAAACCCAGAAGATATAGGAAAATATGAGCGGACACTTTTATTTGTGTGTCTTTATTTGCGTGTCCTGGGGCCCCTTCACAGACGGGGTCCGGGCACTCGGGGTCGGAGCCTCGCGCCCCACCTCGCCGACGCAGCCGCGGTGCGGCGCGGTGTGGAGCCCGGCTTCCGCCCACGCCTTCGTCGACGAGGCATCGGCGATGCGGCGCGATCCCTCGGCTCCGGCTGCTGCGACCCCACCCGGGAGGCCTCTCCAGTCGAGGCTGATTAGTAGAGGTCGGCCCTGCCAAAGCAAGAGTACCAGTGCCTGCGGGCCCTGCGCTTCGCGACCCGCGCCTCCGACATTCCCGTGGCAACGTGGCCCTCGGGAGGGTCTTGTGTCCTCGCGCGTGTCCTCGCTAACCAGCCCCGCCTGTACAGATTCACCCACACCGCGGGGTGCATGGGGAGCATCGTCGTGACGAACGCCCTCTTCGGCGGGCGGGGCCCGCCCGTGCTCGCGCCGTCCACCAGGGTCTCCGGGATCGTCGTGCCCCGCGTCACCTTCACGGAGCCGGAGGTGGCCTCCTGCGGCGTCGCCAACCTGGCTCAGGCCGTAAGTCGGGCGTGTTCTTCTACAGGAGGAAATTTGAGAATTATCAAAATAGTCTGGGGGCGATGCTTTTTTAACACTATTGTTTTACTATGTTCGAGCATGTGTTGACTATTTGTTATTTTGCTCCAAAATCCGCCTGTAGGATGACATGCCCGACCTAAGCTCAGGCCGAGCGGGCCGGCTTGGAGGTGGACGTCTTCCGAGCAGACCTGGAGCACAACGACAGGTGAGCGACGGAAGAAATTCAGCGGAACGGCCCGTCGAGGCAGCAGCGGTTGGCTTTTGGTGGGGGGGGCCCTCGTCGCTACGACGCTGGGCGCAGCTCGGAAAGCTAGTGCGTTGTGGACTCCGGGAGGGTCGGGGACCGACATTGAGATGCCGTTGTCTCAACTCGCCCTGCTCCGCAAAATGGGGCTGACTGCGGGGACTTCTGCGCGTACGCTTCCCGCGAAAGGTCGCGCGAAGGCGCCCCCTTCCCCACGCGGTGTGCGACGCTGGTGGCACGCGTAAGCCACGGCGCAAGGTCGCTGTGCCATCATGTGGAAGGCCCGCTTCTTTTTCGTCGTTCAGGTGCATCCTTGAGGGCGATCACCACGGCGGCTTCGTGAAGATCCTGTGTAAGAAGGGGACCCAGCAGGTGGTCGGTGGCGTCATCGTGGCCGAGCGCGCTGGCGAGATGCTCGCAGAGATCACCCTCGCCGCGCAGCACGGCATTCCTGTGTCCGCACTGGGGCACACCGTGCACCCTTATCCAACAGCCGGGGAGGGCGTCCAGCAGTGCGCCCTGGGATACGTCCGCCAGCATTGGGAGAAGCTCCCACCCAAGGCCTGAGCACTGGGGGAACAGGGGATCGGTGCATCTCCAGACTCTGGAGCGCACGTGCCATCCAAGCGCAACGCGCGCACCAGCGAGATTTTCTACTCCGTGATTGAAGGGGCTTACGCCGTTCCACCGACACCCATAACTCAGGAGGTGAAACAACACACAGACACAATAAATCGTCGACCCCCAGGAAAATAGAGGAAAATATGGGAAGTGGGGGGGGAAGACAGAAACCCAGAAAATATAGGAAAATACAGGGAATCTGTTGATTTGTGTGTATTTATTTGTGTGTTCTGGGGCCCCCTTAATAACCGTGAGGTGACGTCAAGAGTCGAGCCACCGTGCCTGGCCTGTGGGTCGGGAGCCTCGGGGGTGCATATATGAGGGTGTTCTGGAGTGCCTCTCAGGGGCCTCGTGGAGAGCTCTTTAGGGGCATACAGTCGGGGCCCTGAAGAAGGAACCCTTTTCGTTGGGGAGGGGTCCCGTGTTCCTTAAGTGTTTCGCAGGTTGCCTCAGGTTCTCCTGGCTTTCGACGGGAAATCGAAGTTTGACCCATGGAAAAAAGGGACCTCGTTCCTTATTTAGGGTTCCTTAGGTCAACGCCCCGACTGTATGGTTGGCTTGGGGGGGGCCTCTCGGGGGTCTCTTTGGTGCGTCCTGGGTGCCTCTGGAAAGTCTCTTGGGGGCGCCCCCGGGGGTCACTGGGGGTCTCTCGGAGGCCATTACGTCACCGCGGCGGGAAAGGCTTGAGTTCTTGGTTTGCATTGGCCCTCTTGGGGCCCTCCTGGGCCCGTTTAGGGGCCCCTGGGGCCGTCTTGGGGCTCTCTTGGGCCGTCTTGGTACCCTCTTGGGGGGGCGTCTTGGGACAATCTTGGGGGCTCCTTGGGCCGCGTCGAGACGAAACAGGCGTGCATGTACGAAATGTACGTTTTCCCGTGGGAATGGGGCGGTTTTTACTTCTTGGCGCCTTCTGGGAGCAATATGGGACCGTCTTGGAGACCTCGTCGGCCGTCTGGAAGCCAACTTGGACCGTCGCGGGGTTACCCCGGGCCGCCGTCTCGACGCTCTCTTGGATTGTCTCGGCGCTCATTGGACCGTCCTGGGGCTCTTCGGAGGCTCCCGAGAGCCCCCGGGGTGGGTTGGCGAGCTCGTACCCCCCCGGGCCCCTTCCCCCCCCCAGCCCGCCCTTCTCTAGTCTCCTCCTTCTCCTCCTCCTCCTCCTCCTCCTCCTCCTCCTCCTCCTCCTCCTCCTCCTCCTTGGGCCCCAGAGGAGGGGCAAGGGGGGCGGCCAGGACAGCCAGTCACCTCACGCGCCATTTCCTCCCCTGCACGCGGGGGCCCGCGGAATTTTTCGTTGCCACAGTAGGGATACGGCCCCCGCGACAGGCCCGTGCGAGCGAGCGCAGTGGGGCCCCGCGAAGGCGCGGCCCCTGAGCTGAGGATGCTGCCTCGCCCCAGAACATTCAAGCATCCTCCTCGTCATCGCCGCACTCCCCCACCCAGACTCGAAGAGGAACAAAAGTCAGACGCATAAATTTTTGGCGCTCCGCGCGGATTTCTTGGATCCACGCTGGGCCCCCCCCTTCGGCGGCGCCCCGGGCGCGCTCCGCGCGCCAGGGAGGGGGGTCCAGCGCAGATCCAAGAAATCTGCGCGGGGAGCCAAAAGTTTATGTCTGTGCCGTTTTTTCCTTCGACTGGCCTCCGACGACGTGCTCTTGTTCTGTCGCAGCGCTGCGCCGTCACACCGGCCTCCGGAGGCCCTCGTCTCTAGGCCTCTTGGATGGGGTCGGAGTAGATGGGGTCGGAGGATCGCGCCGCATCGCCGATGCATCGACGATGCGGCTCGATGCGGAGCCCGACGCCGACGTCGCCGATACATCGCCGACGTCGACGCCTGATCGCCAGTGCATTGCCGGAGCATCGCCGATGCATCGCCGATGTATCGTCGATGTATCGGCGATGCGGCGCGGTCCTCCGACCCCATCTACTCCGACCCCATCTAGGAGGCCTCTATCGTCGGCCCCTGGAGGCCATCAAGAACGGAGTCGGGACGCAAAATTGTCCCACGAGAAGTGGTCGGGAGTTCTGGGGCCGCGGATCGGCAAGAAAGCGAGATGCCTGGGCCCCCCAGCGCATCAGGTGGATTCTGAATCCTGCGGCCGCACAGCACAGTCGCTCTTCCTCTTCCCTCCGCCTGCCCGCCCGTGCGTTCCCTCCCTCCTTCCTCCTCCGGCGTCTTTGTGCTCGCCTTATGTCGGGCGTGTCCCCCTACAGGGGGACCTTCGACGAAAAATAAAAAAATACCCCAAAATACCCCCAAAACGGTCAAACAATACCCACAAAATAGTCCCCAAACTATTTTTAGATTATGTTTGGACTATGTTTGGGGTAGTTCTTTCGTCGAAAATCCCCCTGTAGGGGGACAGGCCCGACTTAAGGTTCGCCCTTCCCGCCTGAGCCGACTCCACCTGAGTGATGGAAGAAAGCGGGGTCAACTGCACCGACATTGGCGCGCAAGCTACCCGTACGAGGTAGCGCACGAGCGCTTTGGTCTTCAATGTAGCGTCCGCGCTGGCCGCCCGCATAAGCCATGCCATCTCTCGCGCAGGACCCGCTTGGTCTCGTCGCTCACGTGGCGCTGCCTTTCCAGGCGTGGGGGGGCCACTCTGCACGCGAAGAGCAGGGCTGGACCTAAACGCCGTTTTGCTGGGCTTCGGCTGCGTTTCGTGTCTCGTTTTGGCAGGGAGGTACAGGACAACAGGCAGAGCAAAACGAAAACAAAACGAAAAGCAACGTTTAGGTCCAGCCCTGCTCTGCAACCGAAGAGGTGCAGGCGACGGGACGCCGCGCCGCTCAAGTTGGCCCCCTTCGTCACGGCTGCTCGCGGTCTGGATCCGATGCGATCCCTTGCGGTGGGCGCTGGGAACATAGGTTGGGAGGGAGGACGGGGCGGGAGGAGGGAGGAACGGCTTCCTCCTCCTCCCCCTCATCCTCCTTCTCCACGTCCTCCTCCTAAATGCCTGAATGCCTGATGGCAGAAATGTCGTACTTACCTCCTGCTCCTCCTCCTCCTCCTCATCATCTTCATCATCATCAGCATCAGCATCAGCAGCATCAGCATCATCATCATCATCATCATCATCATCATCATCATCATCATCATCATCATCATCAGTATCATCATCATCATCAGCATCATCATCATCATCATCATCATCATCATCATCAGCATTATCATCGTCATCATCATCATCAGCATCATCATCAGCAGCAGCATCCACCTCGCCTCCTCCTCCTCCTCCTCCTCCTTCTGCTCCTCCTCATCCTCCTCCTCCTCTTCCTCCTCCTCCTCCCAGGCCCTGGCCCAGGACAGGCTTGCAGCGGCCTCCTGTTTCTCGTCCCCCCGCAGGACACACTCTCGCCTGCGTGCTGCTCCCACCCACCGATGTGGGCCTCTCTTCTCCAGACAGTGTTGTACAACCCTCTTTCCATGACCGACTCATGGCGGGCGTTTGCCATCTCCTCGCGCCTCAGTTTCGCTGACATCGTGATGCTTCCAGGTACACAAAGAGGCGGCGACCAGAAGATGGCGCGACCATCCGCAAGTGCGGCAAGCACTGGGAGATCGAGTACGGGTGGCAGAAGGGCCGCCTGACGAACAAAAGTGCAGGATGTTCTCTCATGCTACGATGCCGTGCCTTCAGGCGTTCACACATTCATCGGATCTATGAACCCCCGACCGCCCTCGCTGGAAGGGCAGGGGGTGTCAGATTGCGTTCTTCTACTTTCGACATTGCCGCCTTTTGTTCTATACTATCCACCGCAACAACGACACCAGATCGACCACTGGAAGACTACAGTGACTCGCCTCACGGAGTGGTTGCATGCCACAATCCAGCAGCTCCCGCGTCGCTGTCTGGTGATCGTCGGGACGGACGCCAACTGCGAATTCGGCAAGACCTCCAGTGGCAATGGATCATACCAGTACACGGCCGACGGTATCCATGTGGGATCACACAACACGGCGGCCGAGAATTTCACATCAGCGGAATGGTGGCGCCTACTTCAGATGGAAGGATTGACAGTGGTCGACTCACACTTTCCAACAGGGCCAACCTATTTTGGGCAAGAGGCTGGCCATCGATCCCACCCCGACCACTTCTTCGCCCCACGGGATACCATAGATGCGACACTCTCCTGCTGCTCACTCATGGGGGCTACGCGCGACCCCCAGCTCATCCCGCACGCCGACCCGAAGGATCACGCTCCCATGCTCTGGCGCCTGAAGTACCGCCTCCACTACCAGGACGACCGCCGCACCGAGGGGGGACCGCGACCTCATCGGGGAACTGGAACGCCTCTGCGAGAACACAGCGGCCGTGTGGCGCGGCACTTCTAGACAGGACGACCCCTCCGAGGCGTGGCAGTCTCTAGTCTCTGACGTTCGGGAGGCCGCCTTGTCCCTTTTCCAGCGTGGTGCACTACCTGGCCCGACCACCGAGTACGTCCAACAACGACATGTGCCCCTCGAGCGCCGACGCGATCTCAGCAGGCAACGCAGGACGAAGACCGACAGGCTCGCCATCAGAGCCTGCGACCGTGAGATCAAGCGCATCAAACGCAGACTAGACACTCAGCACGTCGAGCAGTTACTTCGGGACGCCACCGCAGCTGCGGAGCGCGGGCGCACTACGGCAGTCTGGAAGCTTGCGTACCAGATTGGCGGCAGATGCCACGGCGTGGGGAATCGTTTCGATACGAATCCGCACTACCTCCCCTCTCTGGACGAGTGGGCGACGACACTACTGGCGGGGGCGGCGGAAGGAGGCTTTTCGGCAGTGCAGGTTCCTGAGCCTGAATTTCCAGCGGAGATCGCCCTGGCGCTGCGAGAGCAGAACGACCCAGACGGCACGTGGAAGGACCTACGTGGCCATCCCGCCGCGACTGCCCACGACGACTGGACTGACACGCCGAGGTGCCTTCGACATGCGGCCCGCAGGCGCTACGCC